GAAGAAATTTATGGTATACGTAAACAACAACCACCGCGAATACTCCTGAATGGCCCTGATGATATTAAAAGGATCCAACCTCTACCTGACAGGATAAGAAAAAAATCAATTTCATACCGTCCCGATAAGGGTTTAAAAAAGAGCATCTAAGACACTATATTACTATAGTGAAATATATGGAGAGAAATTGGCTTTGTAGGTTCCCCTCAGGAGCAGTATTTTCTCTTTTACCCTATCAGGATCAATACCGCCGATCCATCAGGAGGCATTTTTGCAAATTTCATCTGATTTGAAAATTAGTGGCAAATTTCGATAACTATTTTCCGGTAATAAAAGTGTAGTTTAGTTTTCGATAATATAAATTTCGGCTGGTAAAAGAGGTAATGTACCGGCCGAAATTTATATTATTGAAAACTGCCAGTAATTTCAATAGCTATAATTACAAAATGTGTGTTCCATCATTTCAACTTTTTTGATCACATGGGGCACTAGATGTGATGCTAAATAATGGATAGTAACATGTCACATTTAACTAGTCATTTACATGTGATGGCTTAGCATCACATCATTGTGCCCATGCGATGATTGAAATCACTACTCCTAGTCTTGACACCAAATTCATTTTAGAACCCATGTATAATGGATCCATAAAAAGTGCTAACTAATTGTATTCCAACTCCTTTAGACAAGTATCTTCCACCACATATTCGTGATAAAGTTGATGTTTCAGAGACTGATAAAATTAAATCAGAACAAAAAATACGGTTACAACGCCAGTTTCAAGGATTACTAAACAGGTGTTTATATTTCTACTTTTTAGTGCATTTTAGGTCCGTATAATTAATCATGAATTGTTTGTACTACAGATTAAGTGAATCTAATATCGAAAATATAATTGTGAGCATAAAAGAATTATATGACAAGCACATACGACATGGTATCCTATTGAATAATTATTATTTATTTTCTTATAACTCTTCTTAATATATATATATATTTAATGAATGGCAGATGTGATATCGACACTTACAAAACTCGTTTTGAATATGATCTCATCAAAGACAATGCTTTTGGATCAATTCGTAATTTTGTATGCTGCTTTTGTTGCAGCATTATATAAAACTATAGGGATTGATTTTTGTAGGTTTAAATATATGGACCATTAATCATAGTATTTTTTGAATTATGACTGCCACGCAATAGATGTTCATGATATTATTCCTTCTTTCTATCAAAGGTGCAAATTTCATACAGACCCTTGTTGAAGAATTTGAGAGTTTCCATGGCCAATTTAATAGATCAATAGACACAAAAGACATTGATTGTAATGGTGGCAAAGAGTGTATCAACCTAATTGTTCTCATATCCGAACTCTATAACTTTCGAGTTGTTTCATGCGTATTGATATACGATATAATTCGGGTATTT